ATTTGAAAAGAGCATGGTTTATTAATGCCTTTTGGTATTTTAGGGGCATTTATTGATGAATTGACATGCCAATCTTGCATATTGCTACTTTAAAGTAAAACATAGATATAAAAGCATGCATACAGAATCTTCATAAAGTACACACATTAGACATTAGTACACACAGTATACATTAGGCTCTGACTGCAGTCTCCACAACTCAGCAACAGATAAAGCGGAAGAATGTTTGGATAGAATAAAACAATACACTTGAAAAAGCGTTGTTGCTCGTTTCAAAAATGAAACCTTGATTATCGCAGATGCAGAATGGGGCCGGTTGTCTCTTGTGAGTGAATGAAAAGCGTAGACTGTTCTTCGGTCCACCCTTGTGGCTGCTCTGAATGTGTTTAGTGAGAGCGGCCTTTGAACATTGCTTAATTGAAGGTTTTGGCAGCAAAACTGAGGAAGTGTCTCTGTCTCTTTAAATTCCTGTCTGGTTCCCACAAGATTCAAGCAGACCTCATCCAAACACAACCCGTGTAGTTGATTTAAAATTCAACTAACAAACCTCAGGACATAAGAAATATTAAGGAGGTTCATTATGGCCCCTGCATATTATTTTATACTAAATGTATATACTGTTTATAATATTTAATTATTACATATTGCCTTTGGGTCTAAAAATTGTAGTATTTTAACCCCTCCACTAGCTGCTTGGTTTGGCTCTATAACTTAAAGGTATATAGGAGGATTTTCCCAATTTTTAGGAAAGTTCTGCCTTATCCACTTTTTGAACGAAACTCTCTGGTCTTATTGGACGAGGCCGTATCAGCAGAATGATTGACAGTTGGGAGGACCAATAGTCTTGACGATCCACCCGGAAGTAGAAAATCCTCCTATATACCTTTAATACTGTATTGCACAATCCATATACAAGGTAATTGAAATTGTCCCCACAGTCAGAGATGGTTCATATGGCACTGATAGAAATGTCACAAATGTCCATCTGAATTCATTATCACCCCTGATTTCCAAATCAAAACTATTTTAGTTTATCCATCCATTTTCTGTCAATTTCCAGATTGCAGGGAGAGCAGTCTAGGCAGAGATGTTCTTATCCAAACACTTCCTCCAGCTCATCCAGGGGAATTCTGAGGCATTCCCAGGCCAGCTGAGACACATGGTTCTGGTCAAGGCAAAGCGCGACCGATTTGCAAAGCTTGACTGATAAATTGAGAGTTTTGCCTTTCGACTCTCTCTTCACCACAACGGTCTGATACAGCGACCGCATCACTGCACACGCTGCACCGATCTGTCTGTCAATCTCACGCTCCATCCTGCCCTCACTCATGGACAATATCCAGATTTACTTAAACTATGGGTGGAGAGAGGAGGAGTTTATCTGGAGAGATAGTCCTCTGATCCGGAGTCACACACTGTCATTAAAACAAGGCTGACTTGTCATTTGTATGCCCTGGAAATGCATGATTATTCTTATCTTCTGATACATTAAATTGCATCTTCATTTGACATTCATGGCAATACAGAGGACTAATTTATCCACAACGACAATAAAGTGTAACTTAAACCAAAATACATGACTAAATATGGGACTATAGTTTAAAGAGAAGCAAGAATGTAATTAAAAAAATAAATGAATCAAGGCTAATTTCTTTTCTAGGAGGAAAATTGAGGAAAAGGTCGCAGTCTCACACAGGAAGATTTTATTATTATTCTGATGAGAACCAAAATAAATTTAGGATAGTCTTACTCATTTTGTTTGCATTGAAAGATTTATGACGCAGAGGAATAACATCCAAGTGAAGGACAAGCTACGACCTGACACACACAGGTGTTCCAAGTCTGAGAACAGAACACATAGACATGATATTAGCACTGCTGCTGAACTTGGCTCTATGCTTAGAACCACGCAGACAAAAAGATGAACAAAACCTTTTAATGAGATTACTAGACTTTTACTCTCCGCCTGCAAGGTACAGATTGCGTCATTACGTCATTGTGGTAATTCAACTCAATTCAATACTTTATTTCAGACACAATAGTAAAAGGTATATTAGTCAGCTGCAAATATGGCTTGACCCCAAAAAAATTCTAACAAAAGATTTCTCAGTGGTTTACAGTAGTATCAGATGTACTTAAAAACATATTAAAAGTTTACCAAAAATGGCTCTCATCAGGTCCTTAAAATGACCAGTACTTCTTTGTATTTCTCCTAGACTAGGAATATTGGTGTCTGATATCTGTTTTGGTCAAATATTCTAATAACTATATTTGCAGGAAAAATAAGTGATACAATTATATATTAAAGAAATTGGTTATAAGCATATGTACGCGATAAAGAAGTACAATTTCCCTTAAGTAATCCCATATTTCTCTTTTATCATATCGTTTTTCCTAGTGTTGGTGGTTTCTGTGGTTCATAACCATTATTTTGATTAAAAGAATAAATTCAATTGGAACTGTGTGGTATTGTGAAATTAGTCAAAACAGGGCTGCGTTACAAACGTTTTTTGCTTCTGTGGGGTGCAGGCCTGTCTTTTACGGCACCATTTGAGACATGTGAAATAAATGTTTTTGCAAATGCTATCGTTCTGTGAAAGGTCTAAGAGAAATGAGAGCGCTGTGATCCGAGATTAGACTGTGAAGAAAATGACATAGAAAAATGAAAACATGCAGAGGTCTGAAATCCCAGCACAATACATGTTTTATTGTTGTTACACAGCATAAGTGACACAACCAGAGTCTTTGCAGCTTTCACATATTTTCCGACTTTTATACCAAGTCAATAATATGGAAGCTCCTCTCAGCATCTTCCACGCTGCCAATAGATATGTTAGCTTTGACCTTCAGATAACCAAAATGACCAGTTCAGTTTTAACATGATTGCACAAACAATCAGCAGCATTGATGGTAATGAGCGACCAAGGCATGTTATGCATAATGATTTTCTCAGGAAAACAACTACATTTTATTGATTCCAAAATGTTAACCCAACACATCATTAGAAGTAAAAAAGTTAAATCACAAAACAATGTGTTTAACTTTATATTTGGTCCAGTTTTTGACTCAAGTAAAAAAAAACGTCATAATGTAAAAAAAAAATATATACTTAAAGGAAATCCCTTCTGTTCTTTTGGCCCCCGACTAGTTCCTAATTTTCTTATTTGGCCCCTGGTTTTAAAGGATCAGTAGATTTATGTGCAAATGTACGTTCCATATTCAATACAAAAGGACTTTTCTGCCACAATCTTTTCAGTTTGCTTAATGAAACTTTTTACATCACAGTGATAGCATTAAACAAAGCAAGTCATTATAGGGCCTGTATTTATCTTTTATTCACCCCCTTAACATTTTTAAAAGATTACTGTTATGACAACTTGGCCGAACACACTGGCACGTCAATCCCCATGAAGTGTGCAACCCCGGTTAACCCTTTGTGTGCCGTCTACTGAGGATAACATAAAAGCTCCCGCCCTGGAACATAGAGAGGTCGAAGCGGTCACAAGTCATGCCAATCGGAGTCTGAACCTGCATGGGAGGTCTGATGTACAGGAGTGTGTGTGGGACATGCAGGCTGGGCAGGGGGGAGAGTGTGGAGGTATGAAGACTTCAAAAGGACTCTCTGTTTTAGTGAATGGGTCGATGGGAACATGCCAAGACTCCTGCTCCCACACAAACAAAGGGAAATCGAACAGCACACTTCTGTCACAGACCATTAAGGTTTAAAGCTTGGACTTCAAATTAAAGGTACTACTGTGAGTCTTATTTTGAAGAAATGCAAAAAAAAATGTAGACAACTAGACATTGACATATCTGTAAAAACTGAAACTATATAACTGAAATGGTGAACAGAATTGGGTTGGGTTACACATGTTATTGTTATACAACCTTTTTCCACTCTTGACTATACGTTTTCTTTGTTAACATATCGTTTATCTTCAAATGATCTATTCTTGGCTTTATCTTAAGAATAAAGCATAGTTACACCCTATTTACCCAGCTGAACCTGTTTATATGGAACGCTTATGCATTTTGGCACGTCAAGTGAATTAGTTTGGACACCCTTTGGGCCTGTCATAATAATAATATATTAATAACTATACTACTATCTTGTTTTAAAATTGAATATTGGACAGAATATATTTTGGGATTCAATGTTAATCACCCTTACATATTGTCAGCAATTATAAGAAATGTGCTTGTTTCTCTGAAGCATGCCATATTTAGACAAATAATTTCTAAGGTAATTATTGAAACAATGAAACAGTGTTTTCTAAGTGCACCAGCGGCTAAGTCGTTTCAAAATGAAGGCACTATCACCTCTGGCCTTTGCACCTCAACATTGAAGCAAATTCCTAGTCTACCTGTATGAATTTGTTTTTCTCAGTTCATTGACCTGCCTTTTCCTTAACCCTTGTGTAGACTCTGACCTTTATGAATTAACAGCATATTCAAGGGATTAGATCTTGGTCATATCAGTGCTGTGTAATCTCGCAAAGGGTCGCATCTTTGTAATGACGTACATTATCGGGTAAAAAAAAAAACTAATTTTGTACTCTGTTTGAAAGATTGAAAATAAACGTAAAGGCAAATTGTGCTCTACTAAGTGAATATTTCCACTGATAGAAAGTTTAGTGATATCTGACCTGCATATTTTGTACTGTGGACCTTGTTAAATCTGTATTATTGTTTAACATTATCATCTGAAGAACTGAACATATTTGTTCTAACCACATTGTTACTTCACTATCTATATCTCAAGCATGAGTTATTAATATCTCAAGTGATGACGTCTCTGTTCTTATGCACATTGTAAAAAAATCACAAAAAGCCTCGTCTCCTTTTGTTCGATCTGAAGGGACTCAAAATAAACCGTGGTTCAGGTGCAATCGCTGCTGCTTTGTCTTCATTTCTCGACAGTTTGCAGAATTTTTGTATGTTTTTTTCATACGTCTTTTGTGGCAATACATATTTTTAACATCACTTTTTTTTTCTTTCAGTTAATGTGCTCTTCTGTCCAAGCTGCCCTGTTTGAAGAGGAAGAAAAGGGCAGAAAAGTTCAAGAAAGACTGTCTGTGGCCGAAAGGAGGAACCAGCAACTCAAAGAGCGCGTAAAGAAAGTAAAGAGATCTTTGAAAAACGCTCGAAAGGCAGCGCAGGCCGCCGAAGAGCAGCTGCGAGTTCTGCAGGAGAGACTGAAGGCAGCGGAGAGGAGAGCCGGACTTCACCTGAACACCATAGACCAGCCCCAGTCCTCCAGGTACAAAGCCCACGGAGACAGGCAGCGGGTGAAGCTATAGTGGACTGAAGCTGGAGGAGGGGCTGCTGGGCGGTCTCGCTCTTGATCCTGCGGGACTTGGCTTACTGCTCTTTAAACTATCATTTACTACTTTGACAAATTTGCGTTTTTTTCCTTTTTCAGTATGTTTGCATTTGTACTGGTATGTATGAGGACAGCAACACTTACTAGCACACTACTGTTAAAGGATATCACTCTAAAATGATTTGAATGGAAACAATAAGACCTATTGGCAATATATACATCTCATTACTTGAGACAAATTAAAGCAATTTTCTTGTAAACCATTGATTAATCTTAACTCATTCATTTTCATCCCTTTATTATCAATTTCTGGCAGTCAGAGCTGCCACCCAATTCACAAAGCACAAGTCCTTCACTGATCCTCCTGCAGGTGATACGACTTTGATCTTTCAGTGGGGAATTCAGGCAAAGTGGGGTTAAGTGTCTTGCCCAGGGACACAATGATAGCACACATCAGTGGGAGCAGATGACATGGGTTGTGGTGGGATCGAACCCACAACCATTAGGTCCAAAGACCAATGCTCTACCAACTGAGCCCACTGTCATATAACAGCAACAAAAGTTTAGCTTCTATATTTACATCACAGATTAATATGCATATGAGAAGGTATGAAAGCGACCATTGCTAATATTTGCATTCTGGTTCTTAGATGTATTACATTTACTCAAGCACTTTGAACTTACTACCATCTGAAATACTACATGTCATTGAATAATTTGGTTGTGGGAAAAGATGTGACTGAATGTGTGACCATATAGAGACCAAGCTCAGTTCAGGATGCAATAGCAAACAGGTGCTGGGACTCAAATCAGTGTTTCTGTTGCTAAAGTTGCCGGGACTAAAGTCAAAGCTGTTTGTTAGTTGCTTTGTGGACTTCTGTTTCCTTTGAAGTCCTGGAGCGTTTGAATGGACTCACACAGGGCTCACGTTTCACACTCTCAGCTGCAAACAACACCAACACAAACAAGTGATAAACACAGAGCTGCTTTTTAACTCGGTGAAAACAGAGCGAGTAGAAAGGAAAACCACAAGAGAGGAGCCTTCAAATGAATGTGCACATGTAGAAATGTGATCACGCAAGAGATTGAAAATTAGTACATTTCTCAAAAATACTTCAAAGGCCTAGGTTTGTGTAAGCCCTCAGTCGTACAGGGATTAGTCAAAGCAAAGGAAGGTTTCTCACCCATCATCTGTACTTCTTAGCAAGTTTTCCCAACGTTTCGTCCTCAACCTGGGGACTTCCCCAGGTTGAAGAAGTCCCCAGGTTGAGGACGAAACGTTGGGAAAACTTGCTAAGAAGTACAGATGATGGGTGAGAAACCTTCCTTTGCTTCAAAGGCCTAGGTCATAATACATTTAACCAATTCTGTAACATTGAATCCACATTACAGGGGAAACATGGAAAATTAGAATTGTCCATTAACTTCAGTGTACAATGTTAAAAATATAAGGGAGATAAATAAAGCCTTTATCTGTTGTAATGTTTATGAGATTTCATAACACTTTGAAGCAACTTTTGTTAAAGTTAAACTCATCATTCTATCAATGTGCAGAAGCCTGTACTTTTTCCTTGTTTTGTCTATCTGAAGGCCAAGCTACATGGCACCGTGGAAGCTGCTGATTGGAGGTCTCCATGCCTCCGCTGTATCTGTGTTCGTGTTGTTCGTGCTGTCTCTACCATCGACAATAAAACATGTCTTCTGTCTGAATTAAAGACGCGATCCCAGACTTTGTCATCTTCTCATAAAAAAATTACCTGTTTTCCACTTACTGTGCCACTACTGTGTAGGTGTTTACTTTGACGTATATGTTTAATGTGCTTATAACATGTATTCTCTCATCTCATTACAAGCATTCAAGCAAGTCTCTTTTGTACAACATTTATTTATTTTTCTAGATGTTTTTTTGTGACCTGTTGCCATTTATTTCTGACAGTTGTAATTTCATTTTCAAATTAATTATTGGTTTTCAATTTGTACTGTATAAATAATTTATGTTGTTTGTTCCAACAATTTGTGAGCACTTCAGATCACACCGTGCTGTCCTTAAAAAAACAGTATATATGTAAGAAAGAACCTTGTTAGTCACTTATTGACATTTTGGGAAGATAGCCACTTTTCTGTTTAAGATAAGAGGGCAAACCAAACTGTTTCAGAGCCAGGAATTTCAGCCATGGACTTTCTCCCATAGTTTAGTTTGTTATGATTTGAAAGCCCATTTAATTAACAATAGCATGTTTAGGATTTAAATTAATCCTAAAAATCCTATTGTGTTTGCTAATAATACTATGCTTCTGCTTATATAAAAATGATGTCGTACCTGTGATGTTTTATTTGGTCTGTCAGTTCATTGGAATGTGATGGAGGGAGCAGTTCTGAATAATTATCTTCATAATTCTCTTTGACAAAGGATCAGCTCAGAGGGAGGTCGACCACAAGACCATTGTTACATTATCACACGTGTCAAAGGGGGAGCTCAGACCTGCAAAACACACGGACCTGTAAAGAGAACATGGAGGATTCTTTATATATACAATATTACAATAGTTATCTGCTTAATGAAAATGATAACACCAAGGGGTTGGCAATAAAACTGAAAATCATTTAATAAAATGTCTGTATGGACTGTGTTTCACCCTGGTCTCCTTCCTAGAATATTATTCAGATTGGAAATGTGAAATATGAAGGAATGCAGCAGATGTACAATAAACTCTGCCTGGAGTCGTACTCTGCTCCAGGTTTATACATGTCCAGTGCTTCAATCCAGAAATAAAATCTGCATATTTAAACGAGTCAGGTGCCAAAAACATGCAAAAAAGTGCGAATTTATGCCCCCCTCTAGTGGCCATAGTTTGAATGTTTACATATGTACATTTCCCCTCCTGTTTTCAGACTACCTTTTCCTCCTCCCCCTTACCCCGTCAGGCAGGTGTTAAAGATCCGAGTTGCCTGTGACACAACTCCTAAGCTCTGATCACAGAAGCAAACCACCTGCTGGGGTTTAGCTGGAAACTGTACAAACTATTGTCATTTTTGTGTGTGCTTTAGTTAAAAAAAAAAGGTGTTATCTTGTTGTCAATGTTGTTATATATAGATGTGTTTTAAAAAGATAAGAGCAAAATCCAAATAATTTTCACCTGACAAACTGGCAACCCAAATGAGAGACTGATCGGATAATTTGCTTGAAACTTGTAAACAAATATTATGAACATCATGTCCATTGTGTTTTTAATAAAGAACTCACTCACTAGTTTTTGTAGTTCCATATCTAACTCAATGAAACTAATCACAGCCAAAAGCACATGGTGATCATTCACTTTTTATTCCAGAGAGAAAAACAATGAACAGCTTGGGTCTGGGCTCTGATGGACACTCTGATATGCGCAGTGATTGTCAAAGGCAACTTCACATTTGAAAGCCCCTTACAAAGGTCATCATCACAGCACAAGAGTACACACAGAGAAGACAGTGTTCCCTCCTGATCGGGACAGTGAACACAGGGTCAGACATGCAGCGAGGGAGGTACAAGCACCAAACTGGACAGGGAGACAAGACAATATCAGGGAGGAACAGCAGGACCAATTGAAAACCAAGTTCATCAGCAAGAAGACCACCATAATAATGACCTGTACCATCAACGCATGACAAAAGACAGGATGTAAAAAGGTTACGGTAGTGTTTTAGAATTCTTTTCTCAGCTGGCTTAATGCTAGTACAAATATGTAGAAAATAAGCACTTTTTGAAAGAAAAGTTGAAAAAGAAAATGTCCAAATGTTCCCCTCATATTATTGACAGTGATTAAATTCAGAAACATGTCATAATATTCATGTCTGAAAGGCCTTCTACTTTTAATCATACCACACCAATAGTGGTTATGTAATACTGACAAAAGAGTGTAATTTTGTCACGCTTGGGTCAATCTGCGAACTATAATTTTTCAACTGCCCAGGATCACAATTTTTAAAACTATAGGCTTTTTGGAATGTCACGTCACACAGTAAGTAAGTAATCTTTATTTATATACCGCCTTTCACAGACCAGAGTCACAAAGCGGTTTACAATTGTTATTTTTTGGGCACTTGTCCTCTCACTCCACACAGAGATGGGAGCGGGGTCGCCAAACAGGAGGCGCATGCCAGACCTATTGTACGTATTTTTAGGGGTAGGGGAAACCGGAGTACCCGGAGGAAACCTATGCAGACACGGGGAGAACATGCAAACTCCACCCAGAAAGGCCCTAGTCCGACTGGGATTCGAACCCAGGACCTTCTTGCTGAGAGGCAAGAGTGCTATCCACTCAGCCACAGTGTATGTCAATTTCAAAATCTATAAAGATTTGGTCTTAATGTTTTCGCTTGGCCTCAGATGTTCTATCTACAGTTTCATGTTTAGTGGTTGTTGAATTACACCTTTGGATTGGGAATTTTCTCAAAATGGCTAAATGAAAGCCTGAGTTTGGTGTTGGACAGAGCAGACACCTGGCGAAACAAATGACTGTATATAACATTGAAAAAAGAGAAACCTAAACAACGTAAAGTATCCAATAAACTGAAAGAAAGTCTTAAGGTCTAACAGTAGAACACAAGTACGGTTCAGGAAGATGGGACAGATTTTAAGTGGCTGGTCTTTCTCTGATTCACATCAGACTGCTGACTTAAGATGAGTGGAAAAGAGAAAATATGAAGTGGATGTCAGCTTTGTTTGTACAAATCAGATACAATCAACTCTCACCTCTGACAATCAGCCAGGCCTTAAAGCTGAGGTACCTCACTACTTGGTGGACCATTAAGAGCACCAGTAAGTAAACAACCAAGACAAAAGTAGCGGTAGTCCAACCACCCTACTGATCCTCGCACTCAAAACTGTTTTCACATGCGGGTATATCTGTAACCACCCAGTATTTGATTAAAGACGAGATGTGTAATTTGTTTCCACAAAAATGTACTTATTAAAACATTTTTTAAAAAGGTACTCCAGCTTTAATCACCCCATTCAAAAATATCTGAACAGTAAGCATCTAAATGCACATCAATTCACTGAAACTAAAGTTTGCCTCACAGTAAATGTCCAATGGCTCAAAGATAAACGCCTATTCAAACACTTTTTTTTTCTCCTTTTCTTTATTTACAAAACCTCAACACTAATGAATTTTGAATATATATGCAATAATAGTTCAAATGCATAGTAAGCAGTAAATTATCGTAATATGGTGAAAACACCAAAAAGCCCTTAAATGGTGGGAACAAGGCTAATGCAGATTTACTGATTTATTCAGAATAGAAAGACATTTTAATGTTGTTCCGTTACATTGTAAAACATTTGACCTACTGATAGAAAATGCATCTGAGAAACAGACAAACTACTACAGAATGGTGTACTTTCATTAAAATAGTTTTTTTAAGGAATGTTGCGTTTGGTAAATTGTAGATTATCTATAGTAGGCCTACTTATGTCCTTTTTATTACAGAAATATTTATATAACATTTACATCGGGCCGAGGTAATGCAAATTAATTTCCTAAAGTTGAATATAAGAACAACTAAAACAAACCATGAGAAAATACATTTATAAATAAAACTACTGGACCTGGAGCCGACATCTATAGAAACATTTTTTCAAGTCGTAATGTTTGACAGACAAAAAACATTACACATTTGCCGTCTGTCCACACTGATACACTTCGAGTAATAATCTCCAGCCAAAGACTTTTCTGAGGATATTTCACAAATCCCACAATTGCTGAAGAACTGTTACTCCTGAATTATAGCCAAGTAAGCAGTTTTCGAAGTACCATATGGGTTTTTAGTATTTTAGCTGAAATCTACAATTGTTTGATAAGTGTGGACATACTTACAGACGTAAACATGAAACATAAGTCCAACAGTAAAGACAAAGGTTATACCAAACGTGAGTAAACAGGCCTTCCATTTTAAAAGATATTTTATCCAGCCCTTAATATCACATCTCAGAGCCTTTTAGACTAGTTCTAAATGACAAAATGTACCAGTACACTTCTCCATCTCGTCTTTGGCTACACTTCAATAAAGGGATCAGCAGATTTGGATCAATACAGACATTATCTGATATGTGAATCAATATCCAAGCCTTTAACTAAACTGAAACAATCAAGAGAATAATCACCTACTTTGATGTTTTAGAATATTGGCAATTAAAGACAAACATTTTTGCACAAGCAAATAATGTAGAATGGTTATTGAAGATTTCAGGAAAAGAACAATTTCATTGTAACTGAAAAAAACTCATTCTTAAAATACATGAACACATTGCATTCTTGGACTTAAGTGAATACAGTAGACTTTCACTTGATCCTAATTCCAGGCAGATGACACATTCATGTTCCTACTACTTGATTAGGATGACCGCAGTTACCCTCGGGAAATAAAAGGGTGTCCAAAAAGAGAACCATGTCCCATCTAAAACATTTATAATTCTAATTCTAGACACGTTTTGAAATTTACATAAACACAAAATATAAGGTGAAAGGTCTAAGAAGTCTACATTTTGGCAATGCTGAGCACATACAATGATCAAAAGCCAGTAGTAGTGAGTACACAGTGGTGCTGCAGTTTCCCTGAGCACTTCTGAACGGAGCGCAGCAGAATAAATGTGAAGAGAGAGAAATCATGGCTTATGTTTGGCTCCAGCAAATCTGTAACCTCATAGCTAGTGTTTTTAGATTGGAGCCATGTTGGATTGCATTGCACAGCTATGGGAAGTCAACATTCTCAGTAGTAGGCAGTCCTCCATTTGCTCTTAATGTAACTTTTCTGGTGAGACCCACTTTTATGAAAGCAATTTATATGCGTTTGTACAATACAGTAAAGTTTCAGACTCTCCATGGAGGCAAGTAAAGATGGCATACTTCAGAGAATACATTGCGCATCTTTAACTCTGCAAGCATCATTTGTGATGGTAAAAATATGCATCATTATATTAGTTTACTTTGCTTTACAATTCAATGTGCCGGTTGTCAGAGCCTGTGCAAAGAACATGATAGTGCAGTGTTCACATGGAGTCCAGCAGCTGTTCACAGATCAACATTCAGGTTGTTTGTGTATAAAAATCAACCACATTAGCAGGATTACAGGAATTGGAGCATATTACCTCAGTGAATTCCTGCATATAATCCAAATCCAATCAATATTATGAGGTAAATTTAGGCAGGTACAGTATGTCAAACTGTTACCCATTGTTTTCATTGATTTAAATTTTTTGAGAGCAGACTCATCTTTAAAACATGCTCAAATCAAATGCAAGATATACGACTTGAATCCATGTAGACCTCCTCATCACCACGACACTTAGCTACAGTCCAGGCCCGTTGCTAAGGAGGACACCGTATGAACAGCATCTTGAAATCAGCGGAACTTCATGCAATTACCACCTCTCCACAAAGGAACGCATCGTTAGTCAGGTGGTACTTTAAAAGCACTTTTTTTAAATGACAAAAAGACAATACGGCGTCCATAAAAAAAGAAAGAAAAGCAGATTCAGTGTGTAATCCAAAACATGGCACATCGGAATCAGTTTCAAATGGTGAGAGGAAGATTTTTTTTGAGGGAGTGTGAAGCAGTAATCGCATTAATTAAGCTACAAAACCTGCACAGAGAAGGCAGTTTCAATGTACCAATATGTCAAACAGAAAACACCTTTGGGCCGACGACACGTGATCAGTTAGGTGTGTTTAACAGTCTTGGCTACTTAAAAAAAAACAACAAAAAAAGCAGGAAAGACCAGTTGAAGAGGGAAGTGATTAGTCCGTCATCTCAGCGCGGCTCGTCCATCATTAGGACAGATGCAGGTCGCTTTGTCTGAAGCTGGAGGAGAGCTGTGGGTGCGTCTCAAGTGGTACAGTGCATTTTTTTTGACTGAGATAAAACATTGAAAAAATGCTCAATCTTTGTTCCCAAAGTGTAGCGTTCAATTAGTGTGTCTATCAACATGGAGCAGGTGATAGCTTAAAAAGATTCCTGCAGTTATGTTAATATTCAGTACTATGCATTCTATTACATTTCCAATTCAAATTATGTCCAAGTTCAAAAACATTGAATACATCAGGTCTACATCACTCTTTGTCAAACAGTGGTGCGCCAATGTCAAAGCAGTTATATTGTTTTCTAAAATGTCAATAAAACCAGAACCAGAAAAGTCCCATTGGAGACCTGGTGTAGATAAAGTGGTGCTCAAAAGCCAAATAATCAGAAGCCTTAGAAAAGTATTTTCTAAGGTGGTAATTTGTATGAAAATACTCAGAGCCACTGATCAACATAGATACTTTAGACCAATAATAAGTATCTAGTAGTATGCTGTAAACTATAACTATATAGATTAAAATGTGCATCACTTATACACTGCACTACATGTGAACAACCTGAACAGCCAAACCAAACTGGACTGTGCCGCTTCAGAGACTACCCCAAAACACTTCTCTAAACAGCTCTGAGTGTCTGTGTTTTCAGTCCCCTGCCCTTTGTGAGGCAAGACGAGGAACAGGCTGGAGGCTCGGTATTCAGGAGACGTTTTCCATAATCTCGCATCCTCAGTCCATAATGAGGTCTACAGCGCTGTGGCCTCCCAGCTGGTTCCCCGTGGAACTTGGCGTCACTTGGTTTCTTGCAGAACCGGGGCAGGGACAGTGGCGGGGAGCGGCCTGCTCAGCTCTGCCCCGGCCGAGGAGGCAGCTGTGGACGCCAGGCTGCAGGGAGTAGTTGGGGTTGGAACACCTAGGGCCAGTAAGACATATTTGTTGGCTTCATTCATCATTAGATAAAGAACATAAACTATAACCATAAAGTTAACAGAGTTTCTGGAAACTCACTCTTTGAATGACAAATTTAGAGAATTTGACCTGACTTGTAAATTCCTAAAATATAATAATCAAGCATAGACCGTATATAAGGAGGGGATTGACGAGTGCTAATGTCAACCAGTGTTTGCTGAATGCGGAAGACAATTTGCAAATAAGCTAGCTGGAGCCAATTTCCAACGATGTTAGCTTTGTGTCAGAACAGGGGCAGCTAAGGCGAGCTTGAAAGAATCCCCTGCGAATGAAGGCATCTAATGGTCAATCCTTATGTGGCTCATATTTAGATTTTGCAAATCTAACAGATTTTAAGAACACCAGGATCACAGAGAGGCCACTGAAGTACAGATTTGTTTCAAGCCCATTATGGTTACTTTTTAATCTAACTTAGGATCCAGAGCAAAACTACTATTGGGCTTCATTGAGTGTGATGATTAGCATGAACTCAGGCCCTTTTGAACCTAGTCATTTATTAATATATATCAAGATTTGTTTTGATTGTGGTACAAACTTTTGTGTAAGGCGCAATGTAGTATTGTGGTGAGAAAGTAAACATAAGATTTGTCATTCAGAAAACATCAACTTCAACTGTAAAATCATACAGACATATCTTTAGCTCTGTTTTTAATGCTCAGAACAGCCTCAACAGCCAATAATGTTTTACAATCCAAGATGTTGGCCCCTGAACCAGTCATGCAGACTTTTCAGAACATGCCTCAACCCTACATTTTTGCAATGGCCACTTTTCCCTTAGCCATCAATCCTAACCTACAGTATGATTACTAACTGTCAAGATGCAAGATCTGCTGGAATCATAGATCAAAATAAAAATGTCCTTCTGGCAATTACCCCATGTCTACAATATTTCTATCTCACACTTACATTCTTTGCGTGGACTTGAAACGTTTTCTGTGATAGAGCCCTTACTCCCGGTGGTGGCTGCTGCAGTTGTCGTCTTGGTTACTGCTGTGGTACTGGTTTGGTTCTGTCCCATTGTTCCCGGGGTCTGGACTTGGTTTTGAACAGTTTTTTGGGTCTGATTCTGTCTGTTTGCAGAGTTGGATGTGGCTGTGCTGCTGTTCATACTGCTGCCCAGCTGAAGTCTTCTCATGTGTCTCACTACAGCTGTGGCATTGAAGGCTTGCTGTAGAGAAATAAATAAAAGAATAAATCGGGTTTAAAAGCTGTGTGACAAAAGGCTGCAAAACCATCAATACCATTTCATGAAAATTTCACCCCATGACATTACACCCTGAAATCAAGTCAAAATTAGAAGTACTTCTTTATTATTCTAAGTCAGAGATTTTGTACTCAATTCTAGCTTCTTCATTAGGTTAAAAGGTAGAGATTTCATACTACTCTTTTTATAACGTTAGTGATTTATTTTAGTATAAAGTTACTGTTATCTTGTGTTGTGTGCTCCTCATTCCCACTGTTCTGTAACTTGTGATGCAACACTGCAATTTCCTCACTATGGGACGAATCAGGGCTCTCTTAAACTTAATAAATGCATAGATTTATTTCAGCAATCAAAGTAGTGCACCTCTGCTCCCTTGTGGTAAATACGTCACTTGAGTTTGAGTGAGTGTGTGCGCATGGAAACCAGAGCAAGTTAGGTAAGCGCGTGTTTTTTGCAAGCCGGGAAGTCTTGAGCAACCAACTTGAGTTAAATGTAGCAAGGAGGAGAGAGAGAGAGAACAAATAAAAGTTAGGATGAATTATTACCAGACAATTGTTCTCTCGATTAATCTTGTAATTTACGGAAAAATAATACTAAATTTTTACTAAATGTTTAAGTCTGCAAGTGATTATGGGACGGTATGACTAAGGTTCAGGTACTTTTATAGTCTCGGTAGGCTCTCTCACACAGGCAGTGGTCACTTATAGTACAACCACCAGAGAACCATCTCCAGATGTGGATGGCTTGGTTTGGTCAGGGCCGTCTTTGTTGGAGGAGTCCTTTGGTGCAAGTTTTGGATCAACATGGCCAGAGTAAATTTAACTTTGTTTCCACTTCTGTAATACATTTATTTATTGTTTGTTCATGATTCAAGCTAATCACATAATCGAAAGAATTAGCCATGAGCAAAATAACAGTTACAAAACGACACATGTAATGCAAGAAACAACATTTGCACAAAAAGAGTCGGCCCCAACAAAACCAACTCTACAATAAAGTAAATAAATGAATGTTCCGTAACAAAAATAAGTCTGTACCCTCCACTTGCTCTTGGCAAAGTTCTTCCTCATTTGCCGACTCACTGACTCGTGGATGTTCTTGCAGAGAGCTGTATCTCCAGCAATCCTAAAAAGAGTGTATATAATACAAGGATAATACCTTGTGTAAGAATTCACTTGATGGAATGCATTTTTCTTCGAAGTAAAGTATCAGTACCAGGGATGTCTTAGAGCCTGCTCACACGTGTACCGCTTAGATGGGTCCTTCTCCATAAGACGACTAATGAAGTCCTTAGCTGTGAATCAAAAATTCAAAAGTATGAACAGTCTCTCTGAATCTAAAAGGATAGGCCCCACATTTGATTTTAACAATGCAACTTAATCAATAGGGCAATATGGTCATGTAATTTTCTACCCCTTTATTAATCAATTTCTGTCCCAGTCCCTCGCTGATCCTCCTGCAGGTGGTGGGTCGACGGTCTTTCAGCGGGGGCTTCAGGAAATGCGGGGTTAAGTGTCTTACCCAGGGACACAACGGCAGCAGTTATCAGTGGGAGCAGGTGACATGGGTCGTGGTGGGCTCAAACCCACAACCATTAGGTCCAAAGACCAGTGGTCTACCAACTGAGCTACTGTCGACCCTAATAAGGCAATAATTATGTTGATATAGTGTGACTCATACAGATTGAAATAGTTTTGAGATCTGAAGAATATAAATTTTATTAAAGACAGTTTGAGGAGTGCAGAGGAGGGATTGAAAGCACACGTATGAAAAATTTGACCTGAAAACACAGAAAATGCATTTGATCTGCATAGTGAAAAATCTTCGACTTGTTGAGAAATAGCACATATCTTGGTGAAGTGTTGGGCTGGACTCCACATTAAACAGCAGCTACTGTTTTTTGTAGCTCGCTGGTGTAACCTTTTGAGACCCCCTGGCATCGTTACAATAATGATTGATCATGTGCGTCATTTAAATACATCAATAACTACAAGTACTAGATTAATACATTATGTTCATATGCAGTGCTTTTGTACACATTGTTTTCAAGTTAAATTATCAAAACAGCCATCACTTTCTTCCTCAGGTAAACATGTAAGTAAGTAAATTTATGTATAGAGCACTTTTAAAGCACTTTTGAAGCGCATGTGAAAATATTTGCCTTTATACTTCATGTGCGAGACACATGTGACATACTGCCCCAATGCAGACCAAAGGAAAAACATTTTAGAATTGCAGTGGTCAATTGCGGTACAAGTAGTATTCGTGGTACTTTACTTTTTTTTTTTTTTTCATATACAATATAAAGTTATAAATATACAAAGTAATTGAATTGGAAAAAACAACTTACCAGAGTCTGAAATGTCGTCCCAGTACGGAGCATCAAACTCATAATCAGCCTTCAATATCTGCTCGAAAAGTTTCGAGTCGTTTTCGTCATAAAACGGAGGGTAACCACACAACCTGTAAAAGGATTGGATTCTCAACTTGTGCTTTCAGAGGACATAACATTCTTCATAACGTAGACAGCCATACCAGCAGCTTGAGCGAACACCTCTGGCTCAAAGTTTATCCATGTTTCCGTTAAGAGGAGTAAGTTTAAGGTGTTCAAAACGTGTTCATTGTAATTATTATGACCTGATTAGATTTGAATGGTATGAGGTATGAACTAATTGCTAGAAATCCACTTTCAATTAGTTTCCATAATGATGGGGAGAAAAAACAATTTATCCATAACAAAGAGGTGGGACTACAGAGCAACAAGGCGGGCTTTATGTTTCAGGAAGTAACATTTCTAATGTAAAATAATCATTTGGTTTTTTAATAGTATAAAACGATTCCTTTTTCAGACCATGATGTTTTTGAGAAAAAGTGAACCCTATCAGTTGAAACGGTCAAGTACAAAAAACACTCGGAAAAAATAATCCCCTTGTTACTATTATAATGTGATTTGGTTGGATTTTAGCCAAAAAAAAAGAAGAGGCACACGGGGGGGAACTACACAGACATGGGGAGAACATGCAGGACAAAAAGCCCTCTCTGGAAGCAGAATCGAACCTATGACCTTCAGCTGAGAGGAGAAAGTGCAAAACACTCTTTTGCATTGAAAGGTTCGAAAACAAAAGTAAAATTGGAGCGTGAGCTGATCTTATTAGGTTTTTGGTCACTCAGTGTAAGTATGTTGTTCAAAGCTATATCGTACCTAAACTGGAGAAGAATTTCAAGAGCTTACACATTACATTCTCTTTTGGAGAGTGCTGAAACATTCAATGGCCAGTTAACTTTCTCGCAATCCCCAGGCATCAACACTGCTTATCATGAAACTTCAGGTGGAGGTCACACACACACACATAAAAAACAAGCAACACCTGAACAAACTTATTTTACAGTGCTCAGGAGCAAGCTGTTAATAGTATAGTTAAAATGACAGATGTCCCAAAAGGACAGGCCCTTTGAATTATAAGTGCTGAAACTGTAAGGGGTAGATTGCTCAAGGGTTTGTGTGTGTCAACCCTTAAACATGACAGCCTGTGTAGCAAATTGATTTATGACGCATTTGCAAATTCAACTAATGGCAAAAGCATTCACACAACACATATGCAGTTTAGCAAATGGATTGATACGTACCCCAATACCTATGTGTTCGTCAATAATCTACATAATTTAAAAAGGAATGATTCAAATAAAAAAATGGATGCTGGATGCCCTGCTATCAATGGTCCTTCTCCATTGAGCACTACTGTGCCCTGACTGACAAATTGAGTGTGACAACATATATACTACACCATGTAGCATAAGGCCTGTTTCTGTGGGCCTGGTCCTCTCTCTCTCCACGTATAGTGTGTGTATAATATATTCTGTATGGTATATATTCTGTTGTCTCCATATGTATCTTATAACTGTTTAGTGTCATTAAATGCCCTTTTTACATCTATTTTGTTTATGCCTTATACATCAAGTAACAACAGTAGAGTACTACAGTAATGGTAACAACAAACCAAAATGCTGCATTACGTTTGTCCTGTACCAGATTAAGGTAATTTTACAATTGTGTGAGTGGATTCAGCAGCACATCTACTCAAACAAATTTTGGGTATCCATTCATTGTTGTAACCTCTTAAGGATCACCCTCCCTGTACAGGGAGGATTCAGTTATTTTTCATTTAACAGCATCAGTATTAGAATTCACTTGTGTCAATATAGTCAAGCTATATCTCTTTTGAAAGCTTATTCCCACCTCTAAACGCGTATTATGTTCAAATAAACATTAAATATAACCAAAATTAAGAATAAATAGTCTAACTGTATATATATTTAAAATATATATTGTCCTTTCTTACCTTGTCATGCTAATATTCTGGGGCAAATCACGTCTAATCCACACATGTGTGCATTCGTTTTGTTCTTTAGGGTCTAGAGAATAATTATATCCAGTTGTTTTTTCTTCAAAGTCATCCTTATAGTATATATCCACTTGTAACAACATATTTGAGTATTGAAAGTTGCACAAACAAAAACAAAACCTGTTCTTTGCGCACTGTATGAAGAGGACATTTTACTGTTTACCTAGCGTCACTGGGTATGTTCGTCTTCCCCTAAGCCTCCCCTTCAAAACAAGCCCATTCCCGGACTTTTCAGTGCTATGGTTTGGAAGGTAGAGTAAGTTGAGTAAAACAAGCGCACCTAGCTTTAGCGCTCCATTCACATAGATATCTGTGCGTCACGACAGCATTGTCTTGACTACCATTGGCCGATTTGGATGTCAATCAAATCATCTTGTAGCCAATAATCCCAGGTTTCAGGCGATGTGTCGGACTTCTAGCTTCCTCCCACTGTTCCCGTCATATTTGAATGCGTAAAGAGGAAGACTGAGCCTTTTTCACGGAGAACACGCGCTATAACTATATAAATAATAGCTTTTCTGCAAACCTTTCAATAACTGGAAAAAATGCTATTTATAGCAAGAGTAATAGCCAAAAAATTATATAAATGGATTTTTGATGTAAAAACATTGATAATTTGCATGTAAAACACTTTGGCACAGTTGGCACAAAAATGGACCACTTGTGCCGAATGTGCCCATTAGTTACAAAAAAGCCCCCAGCATCAAAATAGTTCCACCTAAAGGTCTAAAATTTCCTATAGGTGTTTCCAACACCACAAACATCTGCTCTGGTGAGTTTGAACATCATACCATAAAGTATGTCTTCAGGAGAACCTTTTGAAATTGCCTTTTATTTTTTTTGACAAAAAAAACTAACTTTGACTCATGTTTGAGAAGCTGTAGTGCAGACTGTGTCCTTCCTAACAAACTGTAACATACATTTTCAGAAACTAGAAGGTTTTACCTTTCAAATGAGGCCTCATAACACAAAATCAGACACAAGATGTCCACACAATAAGCATTTCCATTTGGAAATGGAAGTCGGCAAATGAGGGAGAACTCATAATTCGAGAAGGAGCAGGCGAAATTAGGTGATCCTTAACCAGGTTGGTTATGGAGATGCAAACAAAGCCAAAGTTTGCCAGTTATTTAGCATAATTGTTTGATGAGTAAATTGATGCAGCTCTTGTTTCGTAATCAGGGATGCATGATGGAGAAAAGCAATTACAGACAAAACCCTGTTCCTTCATATTCCAAAGTAAATTTGTGAAAGGTGCTTTGCGTTACTTGTAGCATTTGACACATGGACAAGCTGTTCCCATAAGTTCATGTTCTTTGACTCAGGGTTTAAGACTTAAAAAGCAAACGACTGAATGAGTCTTCTGCTCCTGGACACCTGAATTTCTCCTACAGGGATCAATAAAGTAATTAACTATATGGAACAGTCTACCTGAAAATGCTCATGTTAGTCTCAAAAATCATAATTATCTTTGTGCACATGACCAAAAGGTTTATGCAGCGATGATTGTTGGTTTGGTACATGTGCATTATCTACGCACTGACTTATGACTACATTTTTTTTTTAGTAAAACAATATCATATTTTAATTTGAGATATTAATCATTAATTAAGACCGGTTTGTCAATGGTAAAATATTTTTGTTGTTGTAACATTAATAGCAAAAATACAGTGTGTAATCAAAGTTAAACAGTAGAAAAACAGAAAAGCTTTATTAAGCTAAATCAGAATGTTTTAATTAAACATGCAAAACCACGGTCATCCCTGGCTTATCATAGCTCCTCTCTCAGTCTGTGATTGCTTTTTTAAGTACTTACAGGATATATGCAATGACTCCAATAGACCAGCAGTCCACAGCTTTACTGTAGGGCTTCTGCGCCAGCACCTCTGGAGCTGCAACACATGGGCCGATAGGTAACCACGGTTAGCTCCAAAGAGTCAAATCAAAAACATCCATTTCCTATCAAAATCAAACCCAAATCACTACAATGGTGATCGTCTTTAAGGGCGTCACAGAACCAACTCTCCAACGGCAGACTAAAGACCCATCCACAAGACCGGGACAGGGAGTTTTGGGACTGATCCACAAGTCTGTTTTATGCGCACTCTGTCCATTGATTTATTTATCCATTCATTGTTTTTACTAGGTTGGGACAGTGCATGTTAATGAACACACCTCTCCGGATTGTAGTCTTGACTTACTTTGCAAAAGTCCCTATTCACTCTGATGCTGTATAGGGACTGTTTGTGAAACCGGCCTGATTATTTCTAGCAGAAATAAACCAAATCAAATTTTTTTTGAAGGCTTCTCATGAATAACAGTGAAGTATAGAAATACCCTGCGGTGCCCATAGGTCCACAGGAGGCCTCGCAGTGGGAGACATGATAAACAGAAGCATTAGACCATATTTAGTCTGTTGGAGCTGTGAGTTTGTGCTTGTGGTTTAATGCCATGACAATACATAAACTGACAATACATATAGCAGAAACTGGAAGTGTTCATGCACTGTGTAAATTTATTTTCATTAGTAACATCCATCCATCCATCCATTTTCTTCCCCTTAATCCATTTCTGGGTCGGGGGGTGGCCAGAGATGCCACCCAGCACACAGAGCACCAGCATCCTCACTGATCCTCCTGCAGGTGGTGAGTCCACAGGAGCTGAGATCTTTCAGTGGGGGCTTCAGGCAAAGTGGGGTTAAGTGTCTTGCCCAAGGACACAACGACAGGAGTCATCAGTGGGAGTCGTGAGGTAGGTCTTACGGTGGGCTCGAACCCACGACCTTCAGGCTCAAAGGCCAATGCTCTACCAACTGAGCTACTGTCGCCCCACCATTAGATTTCATTTCATTAGTAACATATCTATTGAAATCTGAAGACATCTGTATCTAAATATAAATGCAGAGCAACACTTTTCTACTTTGCATCCATAATAAGCCAGAGAGAAAGCAAATTGGTGTGTGTATGCCTTAAGACATTTAAAAGGTTAAAAGTCAATAATAAAACTGTAGTTTTTAGTCTATCATATCTGGGTCGGCTGAACTCAATATGCCAGTCATGCCCGTATAAACAGCACTATAGCAGCTGTTCGCTGCTGATAAGACAGATCACATCGAAACCAAAACTGTGTCAAATGAAGAGAAAACACTGTTCTATGTTCTTTCTGGGATTAGTGCCTGAAGTCAGAAACTCAATTTGATTCATATTCAAATTAGACAGATTTTGGTGTGTAATGTCACGTAAGTGGTGGTGCACAGCAAGTGCTGAGAAAATGTGTGTATGTATGAATGCAACAATTCAAATATCCATGTTCTTTTGCTTTATCCTTGGTCATAATGCCCCAAACGACATATTGTCATCGTGGCACGTTAACTCTCCTACCACAGTAAGCTGGCAGTCCACACTGGCCTTGCGTGCAAGCAAAGGGAGAAATAAAACTGTTTGCAAGAGAAGCTGATGTATACATTGGTATGTGTTCTGGGACTGGCTGTGATGTTGCAATACAGTCACAGAACACGCACAAAAAAAAGGAGAACTCTAATGTGATCCGTTGTGAAAGAGGACTGGGGGACCTTTGCAGATGTATTTACTGAAAATGGCAAATAAAATGAATCTGAATATAATTGGTTGTAGTCTGCTGTTTAATTGAAGAATTTAGTGCTCTATAATGGTGATCATCTTTGAAAGAACACAATGAGGGAAACTCAACATAGTAATTCATCATTTACATTAACAAGCAGCTCTCACACTCACCCACATACCCAGGCGTCCCACAGGCAGTGGACATGACATCGCCGCTGCCCTCCATCTTTGAGAGACCAAAGTCACTGATCATGATCTTGGACTCGTCCTGAGGGTTGAAATACAGCAGATTCTCCGGCTGTGACAAAAAACAGAAGACATCTAAACAGGCCAAGATCGATATACAATATTTCCATTTCAATATTACCAATAATAAGGCTGTTTATAACTGTAACTACATTCAACATAGCATAATTGAGCATAATTATAGATGCTTAAAAGCACCTGAAAATGTATATATAAAAATGGATAGAGAGGCAGAAAAACTGGAGGGGCATCCCTTGTATTCTTACTTGGTTTCTTTGGAACCTTGGCCCTTTTGTAAATAGTTTAAAAACGCTTGATATGCTTAGATTTCATACTGTTAAACTAGTAAACATGGTTTTCTCGTGACGTCTCGTAAGTTTCTTTCATTTACTCTATGACCTTGAATAACTTATTATAATAAGTGAGCAACCTTGCATTATAGAGTTATAATGCACAACGCGGAGTCTAGAACGCACGGAGCAGTGTCCTAAGGCACGGCTCCAAGTTGTTTATTCCACTTATACCATGTTCCGTGAATTTAAGTGTGTCCAAACATGTACGGCTTGTCACCTAATTGACATTTTATTTGATCCAGCTGTTACAGTTACTATGGTAACGACTGTGGCGGAGTGATATAGAGCATGATTTTAAATTCACCGGACTACGTGCGAGTCTACGAAAATAATGCACGGCAGTTAGCATTGAAATGAGTATTGGTATAAATTATTATAAAGTAAACAACCCAAGTCTAAATTACACTTGGGTTGCATACTTTTTAACATTCCCTTTGGACCAATGAAATTGTTCCAAACAGCTGCCACATGCCGCATTGACCCCAAAGCACCATGTGCGAGAAGCCAGGTCTTTATTGAGGTGGTAAATCAGACTTGTCAGCACAGAAGGAACAGGAAATAATAAAGTGAGCAATGGCACAACACTGAAATGCTCCATCCGAGAAAATATAGATCACAAAACAAGTAAAATCCTGTATAATCAGTGTGGGTATGCTGGTGCTTTCAAGCTCAGCTAGTTAATAATAATAATAATAATAATAATGCATCAGTTTTATATAGCGTTAGCTAGAACTGGTAAATAATTATTAATACAATCCTAAAGCCAAAAAAAAAAAAAAAAATCTATTCAACCTATCTTTAGTTTTCACATGCATGCATTTTTTTGTGTCGGATTTTTAGATCAGCATTTTTTGATAGAATAGTGAAAAAACCAAGGAGCACCAAAAAGGGCACAGGAGGCTTCCCCCAGAGCCTGCACAATACACGCATACACAGGCATGTATGCGTTTATAATAGTGAGTTTTCTGGCTTGTCAGGATAATGAATCAAACCCTCAGCACTAAATGGATACTAAAAACATGAGTTCAGTTTGAAAAAAATTCAAGAATAATTAGTTGACATTCTTACATAAGTTGGAAAAAAACTTACATTTATATTGAGAAATAGGCTCACACTGAACATCGATAATTCTAAAAGATAATTATCAATCATTTGTCATTTCTAAGGATTGATATTATAGGTATTGATGATAACAGTATTGATTAATTTGGGTGTTCATATTTTTTAACAACTCCAATAAAACCACAAATGAAAATTTCCAGTATGTTTGGTGCTGTACCTTCAAGTCTCTGTGCACAATCCCCATAGTGTGCAGGTAGTCTACTGCGTCCAGCACTTGTCTAATCAGCGTGCTTGCGTCTTTCTCAGTATAAAACCCTTTCTCCACAATTCGGTCAAAGAGCTCACCTCCGGATACGCTGCAAAACACAAAAATAATGTCAGTTCAAATTTGCCTAAGAACTAAAAAACACCTTTACTTTAAGTGAAGGCAAAATACTTCATTTGTTGTGATGTGAAACCACCAAAATGACTACTGAAATAGTACCCACTTGTTTGGTGGTTACACATCTCCACAACTGAAGCAGGTTTGCTTCCACTTCAACATTACATGACAGGTCATTTCACAGAAACATAGCTAAGGTGGACGTATTACAGTGTTTTGCAGACTATGCCCTCGATCAGATTTTATTTTAAACCATTGTGTATTCATTTTCACACACACACCTGCCCAGGATTTGTAATGTTACTTTGTATCATACATCGGCATAGAAACAAATTTCAATGCCAGTGAGTGAGGGGCTTCCAATAAATAGCACCCATTTTATTTGCACAAACCAGGCCACTCAGGAGAACCTTTTCCTGCACTTTGTGTAAATTAAGCTCGGATAAGTGGGATAGAAGATAAGGAGTAGCCTCATGAGAGAACAGCAAATTTCACAGGACAAGGGAAGGGACAAACTACTGGATATTGGCTATTGGCATACCGGTGACATTTAAGTTGTGGCACAAAGTGGCATTTAGATCAGTTTTATGGAAAAATAAACTAATCTAAAAAAAAACATTTAAAAAAAGAAAGTCTTGTAGTCATATAACTGATCAATTATTTGTGATTGATTCATTCATTCAAAAGAAATTCCCGTTTCATTAAACACCTATCAAGGTATGTAATAATGTATTGAGAGTTTGAAGTCATTAACACAGACTCCCAGAATTCTGAAACGACTAAAACTCTCAGAGCTGTCATTTTGACTGCTCCCATTCAAAACAATCAAATTCTTAGAAATTCCCATCAAAAATGTTTTGTTTCCCACCAAGTAAGAAAATATTAAGCTAAAACCAATCACATTGACTGCTCTACGAGATGTATTCAAAAATAAATGAATCCAGACAACACTATTCATCTCCATGGCAGACGGGATGACATGGGTTAAAGTTGAAAAAATTCCTGAGCCTGAACCATCTATATGAATCATAGAATGATCACTAATAAGCGTTTTTTATAAGCGGCCAGGGGTTAAAGCAAAAAAAAAAGATTTGACTGAAAATTTTCTCATGGAAATATAATGAATTACAGATCAAACGAATTCGTCAAAGATATACATTTAAACTGGTGTATTTTGATGTGAAATTACAACCAGTGGATCAAGCAACTTGTCAACTCTTTGACAGAATATTAGTGAGAGTAGTTCATCTGCATCATTGGCTTTACTTGAGGCGAGATGAGGCGTTGTCCTTTGGCTCTGTCCTCGTCAAAATATCGCAAAAGGACATTCAAAATTCTGTCCACATTTGTTTGTGGACACTCAATGTTTAAGAAAAAGGTTTCCCTATCAACTTGGTGCTAGTGCACAGCGCAGTTTTATCAACTGCAAATGATTAATGATAATTAAATCTACCAGCGGTAGTGATGGTTCTGAACGACAGGTTATTTTCTGCGATAAAGCCACAGTCTCTTAGTTTTAGGTCACAGACACAGTCCACCAGAGCAAGCCTAGTCTCAGTTGTCGCTGAATCTGATGCACCAGGTAAAGAAGTGTGGGAAAGTGCACGGACAGCTGCCAAGTGCGCAGTTTTGAGCTGGTGGTGAATCCAAATCTGTTTTCTCATTACTCCCATATAAAAAAATAATAATAGCGAAGTACGAACAAGCACCGGACACCTTCATCTTTTTGCACCATGAAGCAACAGAATCCCATCGTCTCCACCTCATCCAGCCATGCCCACCTCCATGTATTTTTCACTGTTATCAACAGCAACTTATACAGCTCCTTCTTCCATAAACAACGATCCATGATTGTGATTGTGCGTGCATGCTAGGCTAGCTTTGATGAATGAATATAAGACCTGCTAACACACACCTTTCTTCAGCGAGTTTCTTCCGTTCGCTCTCGTTGATTGGCTCTTTTTATCACGCAGTTTTGCATGGGGATCGCCACCAAGATATTATCAAAAGCTCACCAAGACATGCTTGTCCCCATTCCCAGTCACAGCAAAGTACATATTGTACATTCCGTTAAATAAAAAAGCATTGCGTTTGGTAAACGTTAATTATGTCCTACCTTTCCTCTGATAACGCGCCTAGTTTACC